AAGTTAGAGATGAGATAGGTCTAGTTACAGTAGCATTGTCTTGAAAAGGCCCAGGCAGGCTTCTCTCACTTTACAAGAGAGCACCTGAACAGAGGGAATGTCTTCTCCCTAATCCTGCCAGGAATCACACCTGGTCAGAGAAAAGAGGACGACGGGATCTTTGCAAGTCTTTCCTAGCTAGTCATCACCTGGCCCTGGGGTCAGGAACATTTAATTTGGTACTACTCCGGTCACTGCTGAGTCCTTTAGAAGGCAAGCAGCAAGAGTGACGCTGGAGACTGCAACAAGCCAAAGGTCTCAGCTTTCAGGAACCCTGAGGCTTCTGAAGCAGGCAATGAGCAATCACACTTGTATTTGAAATATGGTACCTATCATTTTACTGGCAAAGGACTATTTCTTTTAACTCTTTGATTACTTTCTTTTAATAAAATCACTGTATTGTAATGAACTCACAAATAAAACATCACACAGCTAGATTAAGGGAGCTGCTAACACTTGCTGAGTCTCGAACTCTATCCCAAGCTCAGTGGTCCTCCGCAGCTGCAATGGCTGTTCTCAAGCACTGGAACCGGGCTCAGAATTTTACACCTCGACTATCAGATTCGTCTTTATTCACTTATCCACTGGAAAAGAAAAAAAGAAAAACTACGACAGAATTGAAACCAAGGGGAAAAGCTAGCCTTATATCCTCTTTCATGACTCATGTGTCCTTTTCCCTACACTCTGTCCTTCCTCATCACCTAATGTTACTCTTTCTTGGTAACTGAGGAACGTATAGGGCCCTCAGCAACGTTAGTGAGGAGACAAGACACAGATACAAGTGAGGACAATATAAAAGACACACGCGATTGCCCCGCTCTCCAGCCCACTTCGGCGACCCTCACCTTTGGCGAAGGAGACTGCAGCAGCCGTTGAACTAATCTACTTCGGGTTCCCCTGCCACTCTGATCATCCCTCTAAAAGCTGCCAGAAATAAATCTCTAAGATGCAAGTCTGATCATGGGATTGCTCTGCAGAAGTAGTTCAGGACCAGCCCACCACCTCCGATCCAGTCTCGATCACGGCACAGAAGACTCCGCATGAACTGGTTCCCAGCACCACTGTGGCAATCATTTCACTCCTGCTTGCAAAGTAAGTCACCCCAGACACCATGTTTCTCAACATGTCGTACTCTGCATGGAAAGCCCCTATTTTCTGTGTCATCCTATTAAATTCCATTTTTCATTCACCTCTCTTATGAATTTTCTCCTAAACTTTCCAGATGAAATATTCCACCTCCTTCTCTGTACCCAGTGGACCTTCCCTATACTTCTATTTTCTTTCCGTTTATCGAGAGAGGGTTTTTCTCCGTGTAGTTTTGGTGCCTGTCCTGGATCTCGCTCTGTAGACCAGGCTGGCCTCGAATTCACAGAGATCCGCCTGCCTCTGCCTCCCGAGTGCTGGGATTAAAGGCGTGTGCCACCGTCGCCCGGCTGTTTTTTCATACTCCATGGCATTTTAGAACTATGAGCTTACTGGCCAGTTTCCCTCACCAGACTCAGCTCCACTGAGGGAAGATGGTGTTTTCTTCATCTAGGTGTAACATGGTATCTGTGTTAATTGCTGGGTTCCTAAAGCTGATGCAAGGTTAAACAGGTAAATGTGATCACTGATATCATACCCAACATTAGGATGTTATAGTCATGATTAGGGAGACCACAAACACAAAAGCCTTTTCTAAGCTGGGCAGTGGTGGCACACGCCTTTAATCCCAGCACTCGGGAGGCAGAGCCAGGCAGGTCTCTGTGAATTCGAGGCCTGCGTGGTCTACAGAGGGAGATCTAGGACAGGCACCAAAGCTACACAGAGAAACCCTGGCTCGAAAAACCAAAAAAAGAAAAAAAGCCTTTTCTACTTTTCTAACTCAGGAACTTGCTGAGTATTTCAAACACTTGTTTCTTTTATTGCTCAGAACCACTTAGTAAGCTGGTCATTAGCACGAACACTTCAAGATGAAAAGACTAACATCAACTTAAAAACTTGTCCCAGAGCAACACAGAGAAAAATGACAGAGCCGATTCAAATGTAGGACTGACATCAAAGCCTCTTACTCGATGATGCTAGTAAAGCTGATGCATGAGGGGGATAGGAACCACGTTCCTCCAGGCTGGGAAACGGAGGGGGGAACAAAATAGCTACTAAACTTCAGGAGAACATGCAGCAGTCACGACAAAACAGTACGTGACTGTGCTCTACTGTCTTACAAACAGTAAACCAGGATAGACTTTCTGAAGAAAGAAAAGCAATTACCGAGGGCTGGAAGATGCGTCCAGGCAGGAAAACCCTATATAAGGAATACTGGCTGGCAAAACGGTGGGCAGTGCTTAGGTGGTCTGCCAGATATGGGTAAGTAGAGGCATCTAGGTGAAGGACTTGAAGCCAACAGTTCCTGTTTTTGCCATAACGAAAATAACTCTCAGTGTAAAGATTATAATTGGAGAGAGAGAAAGTAAACAAGATTAAAATAAGAAAATCAGGAAACAAATAACTGGGGAGAGGTAAGCCAGTGAGAGAGGGAGAAGGAGAGAGAGAAAAGGAGAGAGAATGAGAGCAAACCCAAGAGAAGATGCCGTTAGGATTCTACTTTCCCTGTTCCAAACATCCACTCTCACTTCAAGAATACATATTTTTGCCAAAGATCAAAGATCCTAGTGTTAGTTTTTCATCTTTTCCAGAATGCATTTTCAAAAGATAAGAACCCTATCTAAAAAGACTATAAACTAACAAAAATATTGAACATCTGTAATGATGTAAATGCTAAGAATAATCTGACTGAGTAGCAAGTATTCACTGTGGATTGAACATGGACTGGGTACTCTAGAAAGGCTGTACAGAAAAACTAAATATAAAATCATACATATATTTCTCTTCTTTTTTGGCAGGAGGGGGGTGTTGTTTTTTGAGACAGTGTCTCCTATAGCCCAGGCTGTCCTAGAACCATGGAGCTCATAACCTTAAACGGAATCGTCCGCCTCCTGCTCCAAGTACTGGGATTACAGATGTGTGCCACTGCAGCCAACTTAAATGATATTCTTCAAACATAGTTAGGGAGTTATAATATTCCAGAGTAACCCAGGAACACATCCATGAGTGTAAAAGAACAGTAATAGAATGAAATTAAACACGAGCGCTAAAATAATAGAGGAAAAAATGTGAGCCATCTCCCCCCCCACACACACACACAGGGTTTCTCAGCGTAGCTTTGGAGCCTGTCCTGGAACTCACTTTGCAGACTAACTAGGCCGGCCTCGAACTCACAGAGATCCGCCTGCCTCTGCCTCCCGAGTGCTGGGATTAAAGGCCTGTGCCACCACCGCCCGGCCGAGCCATTTTCAAGTGTGTTTTTATGTGAAGTTCAACCCACATAGACTGTTTCAAAGGTATTTATGCTAAGTACTAAAAATGAAATACTAAATGCTGCCTGTGTCAACAATGGCTCAAGCTATCCCCCAGGAGTGTGAGCTAAGGGTCAGGTACTTTTAACTCTGAAGAGTCCTCTGTTTAGCATATCAATCAGGTGTTTGTATTCTGTTCTTTAAGCCTCTCTCCAGAGGTTAGGTCTCAGATTGAAATTCTGATAGGCTGGTGACCTGAGTTTGATCCCTGAGACCCCCCCCCCCCAAAGGTGGAAGGAGAGAACCTACTCCACAAAGTCGTTCTCTGAGCACACTCAGTCATGCGTGTACGTACATACACACACACACACACACACACACACACCCCACACACAAATATTCAAGCAGACAAATAAATTTGGAACCAGAATCCTAACTTGATAACTGAGCTTGCTTTGATTCCACCAAGTCGCTCCTCACCAAGCCTTGGTTCTCTCAAGTCCCCTCAGGTTAAAACTTCAAGGCCTGCTAATCACTTTCCTGCCTTTTCTTTTTTGAGAGAGGGCCTGGCCTGTGTGGAACAGCTAGCCTTTAACTCAGAGATTTGTCTGCCTCAAAAAGCATGCACCGCCACGCCCAGTTCCAGGCTTTTCTTATAGCTCTTCCTCCAGCCTTAACCAACTTCTCTTTCCTATGCCCTTTTATTATTACTTAAACACCCATTCCTTTGGGGGGGGGCTCCAGTGTCTTTAAAAATACTTCTTTCTCCACCTCCCACCCCCAATTCTTGGCTCTGGCAGTTGGGCTCCCGAGGTCACATGGGCAGAATGGAGTTCAACGCTTCTCCGACTTTGGTACAGCACCTAGAACCCTTCTATTGACATCACCTCATCGCCCCCTCTCCAGCCACCCGAAGCTCGCAAACCAAAGCAGAAAACTGCTGGGCCAGGGGCGTCTCAGCGCAGAGCTAAATTGGGAATTCTTTGGCGCTACGGCATTCGGAGAACAGCTCTGCATCATCCTGTATCGTGAACGTAACTTACTCGCTGTTCTCTTAATGCAAGGACAATGTCTCCTCTACCAGACAGGAACCTTCATGACCGACAGAACCCTGCCAATCCTTTATTCAAGCCCCGTTCACACCCCTCCGGAACAAGAATAGGTCTTAGAACAGTTTCTTCGGCAAAATATTTCTTCCCGACTCGGAGTTTACACGGTAAACGGAAACGTCCTTTGGCCGATTAGGAAACGAAAGGGTTAAAGCTCGACAACCTGATGGATTCTGGGGTTTTCCTTCCTCCACGCCAGAAATTAAAACGACCAGGAAGGGAGAGATTTTTTTTTTTGCCCAAGATAAAGATGAAAACTGTTAACTTCCACTGTCAGACGTCTGCCCCCAACAATCATGGCGACCTAGTCCCACAAAGGAGACCACACACCTAACTAAACATGGCTGGTCCGAGGTCTCATTATCGGCGGTGGTCCCTGCCCGACTCCAAAATGGCGCTCACGGGCCTCTTAGAAGTTGCAAACTTCCCAGCATCCTCTCTGGCCTAGACGTCAGGTGACGCGAGCCTCAGCCGGAAGTGAAGGAAAAAGCGCTTCAGCCCGCGGCGCCTGCGCAGAAGGCTCTAGACGCCGAGAGGCAGGAGGCACTTGGGATCGTCCGCAGGGTTTGGGACTGCTACAGAGGCCGCCACGGAGCCCGCCGGAGCCACCGTTCCTGCTGCTGCCGCCGCCGCCCGAATCGGAACCGTCGGGCTGCAGCCGCCGGCAATGCCGCGGAGGAAGGTGAGGACTAGCAGCGGAGGGATGGCGGGTTTCTAAGGCGAGTCGACTGAGGACCGTGACGCAGCTGGCCACGCCTCGCAGTGGTTGCGTTCCAACTTCCCGCTCCCCGACACCTAGCCTAGCCACCCTGCCTCCTCTCGGTACCAGGCAGAAAAATGTGGGCCCGACCCTGGCCTCGGCCTATGCTAGTGACTATTCCCGCCCTCTGCTTGCCTGGATCGGAGGCGCTCTTGTCAATTGGTCGCTGAAGCGTCTAGAAGCATATTGATTGGATGGGGACGCCGCCTATTTGGGCTCAACGGTCACCTCCCCGCGTGCGTGGGCGGTGTCTGGGTCTGGCCCCGGTGCCCTGCGACTGGCTGTGGAAAATGCTATCGCTTCTCCTCATTGGCCCCGCGTCGCAGTCTGTTCTTGTGGCGGGTGCGGTTTAGCAAGGCCTGGATTGGGTCGCCCGAGGCCCCGCCCTTCCGGGTAGAGATGGCGATAGGTGCAAAGACGAGTTGGGGAGACCACTTTCCTTTCCAGGTGCGGGGCACAACAAAGCGGAGGAATGGGTGGTGGGAAAGCCAGCGCCCACTCCCAAGGGATACCTTGCAGGCCTGTTGCAACTCAGACATCGTCTTCCACTTACTCAGTTTGACATTGCCTAGGAAGTGCATTTTGGAAAAGTAACACAAAACTTGTTGGAATTAGAAGGGTCCTTTGAATTTGGAAACCACACAAGGAAATATATGATGCTATATATGATGCATGCACTGGAGGGTGCGGGCGCGGGCGATTGACGGTGTATGCTAAGGCCTGAGCAGGACATCTAGCTTTTCTCTATGGCTTTCTTACTGGACCAGAATGCTCTCCAGATCCACCTGTCTTGTCTCCTCAGTGCTAGGATTCTAGGCTCGTGCATTTTTTTTTTTTATTTTAATGCATGCTGGAGATCTATACTGAGGCTTTTTTGCTTACAGCAGAGCGAGTGCTCTTGCCTGCTAAGCCATCTCTCCAGCCCTGACCCTGCTCTTTGCATTCTACAACTGAACATGTGGAGCACAGCTGAACTGTGTCTAGGCCACTTGTCAAGCAAAGGCAAGCCAGAACTACAGAACAAGTGTAATACAGTTCCACAAATGTTTACTGACCACTTGCTACATCCTAGTCGATAGGGCTTCAAAAATGATGAATGGTCACTGGTTTAAGGGCATCACAGTTGAGTGGGGAACACAGATAAAGATGTAACCACAGAAGGCTGCAATGTGGTCTCTGCTTGAAATTATGTAGACTGTAAAGAAGCAGTTAACTCAAATAAATGGTGAAGAGCTGACTTTCAGGGCTAAGCCAGGAAGAATTGGTAGAAGGTAATGGATTCCCATCTGGGTCATTGGATGAGGTGACTTTAAAGATTGCCTTTTATTTTAGTGATACTTTGTGACTCTGGAGCCTTTATGGTCAGATTATGAATGAAATATATGGGTGGATAGATGGTTGGTATTAAGATTTCTGCAGAAAGTATTCTTTACAGAGGATTTCCAGGTTGAATATTTACATTAATGTCTCTTAAAATGACTGGAATTGACAGGTTGTATTTATGTCCAGGTAGATCAAATGTAAGAGACATATATACTGGTATGTTGGAATAGGTCCAGTTTCCTTTTAGCATTTTCCAAATAACCAGAGTCCTGGGAAATGTAAATTCTTACTGGGTGTTATGGCACAAACCTTTAATCCCAGCGCTTGTGAGGTGGATCTCTATAGTTCAAGGTATACCTGGTCTACTTGTAAGCTCTTGTTGGTGTAGTGGTACACACCTACACATCTGTAGTCCTAGCACTCTGGAGGCTGAGGCAGGAAGATCACCATGAGCTCAAGGTAGACCTGGGCTATATGGTAAATTCCAGGCTAGCCTGTGCTGTGTAGGAAGATCCTGTCTTAAAAACAAGAAAACCACCAGGCGGTGGTGGCACACGCCTTTAATCCCAGCACTTGGGAGGCAGAGGCAGGCCTGGTCTACAGAGCGAGTTCCAGGAAAGGCGCAAAGCTACACAGAGAAACCCTGTCTCAACAAACCACAAAAAAAAAAAGAAAAAAAAAAGAAAAAAAAAAAAGAAAACCTCAAATGTAAATATGTTAGTAACTTGTTTGATGGCAAATCTGTCCTGAACTATTCTTAGGCTATTTGCTTTTTTATATATCTCATTTAGTGTAACACTACATTTCTGTTTGCTGTGGAAATATTAATGTGTTTAGTGTGGGGGTTATTTGCAGAATATATGTGTTCTTTCTAAAAAATCTAAAGAATTATTAACTCCAAACATACTCGGCAGCTTATTCTTTGAATAACCAACTTTGACTTGGAGCTCAGGTGTAGCTCAGTAGTGTGTGGTTAGCACCTTGAAGCCCCAAGTTCAGTCCCTAATGCATCCCACTCCCTGCCCTGCCCAGTATATTAGGACTTAAGTTTGAAGTGTTGTAGTGATTTCAGCAAGTTTTCTCCTATTTCTGGCCTAGAAAAGGGCATAGTGTAAGTGCTTAAATGATAAAAGTAATCTTCATGGCTAATCACTCCTTAGGAGGCCAACTGACAATTATGACTAGGATGTGAGGTGAGTTTTAAAAAACCTGGCATATGAGACTGGAGAGATGGCTCAGTGGTTCAGAGCACCTGTTGCTCTTGCAGAGTACCTGGGTTCTGTTCCAAGCACCCACAGGGTGGCTCACAGCCATTTGTGACTCCAGTTCCAGAAGGTTTGACAACTTCCCTTGACCTCTGAGATCACAGACATGCAGGCAAAACGGTCATACATATAGAATAGAATAATTTTAAAAAAATCTGGTTTGACCAACTATGAGTCTTTAGTATAAAATTCCTTTTCTAGCACTTAAAACATCTATGTGGCGAAACTTTAAGGACAGATGGCTAAGAAAATAATTTGTATCTTTTTCTTAAATTCTTTTGGGATTAGAGTTATAGACCACAACATGATTGTTGTGTTTTTTGTTTTTTTTTTTTTTTTTTTTTTTTTTTTTTTTTTTTTTTTTTTTTTTTTTTTGTTTTTCGAGACAGGGTTTCTCTGTGTAGCTTTGCGCCTTTCCTAGAGCTCACTTGGTAGCCCAGGCTGGCCTCGAACTCACAGAGATCCGCCTGGCTCTGCCTCCCGAGTGCTGGGATTAAAGGCGTGCGCCACCACCGCCCGGCCTGATTGTTGTGTTTTTTGAAATATTTTTTTTGTATGTATAGTGTGTGTATATGCATGTATGTAATATAGATTTACCATATATATGTAGGTAGGTACCTGGAGAGTTCAAAAGAGCTTATTGACGCTCCTAGAACAGAAATTACAGGCAGTTGTGAGTCCCTGTGTGTGTGTTGGGAATAGAACCCAGGACCTCTACAAGAACAGCATGTGTTCTTAACCAATGAGCCATCCCCTGCTCCATATTTTGAAATGATGTATTTTTTTTAATGTGGGGCTTTTTGTTTGTTTGTTTGTTTTTTGGAGTCAGGGTCTCTCTGTATGTAGCTCTAGGTGTCCTGAAATTCACATAGATCTTCCTACCTCTGCTGGAGTTAAAGGCATGTGTGCCAGCATGCCCAGCTAATATGATTTTTGTTGATGGAGTGCGAACACAATTTACCCTGAAGTTAAATGGGGCCTAACATTAACATTTTATACACTATCTTGGACTTTTTCTTTTCTTTTTTTTTTAAAGATTTATTTATTTATTATGTATACAGGAGAGGATGCCAGATCTCATTACAGATGGGTGTGAGTCACCATGTGGGTGCTGGGAACTCAGGACCTCTGGAAGAGCAGTCGGTGCTCTTAACCTCTGAGCCATCTCTCCAGTCCAGACTTTTTCTTTTTTTAAAGAAAGATTTAGTTATATTGTTCTAACTATGTGTATGTATGTATGAGTACAGGTGCCCCAGGAGGCCCGAGGCATTGGTTCCCCTGGAGCTGGAGTTACAAGCAGTTGTGAGCCACCATGTAGGTGCTGGGAATTGCACTCTGGGCCTCTGCCTGAGCTGTCTATGCTCTTAGCCACTGGGCTGTCTCTGCTGTTTCTTTTTTTTTCTGACATGGTATGCTAGCCAGACCATTTTGATTTGGGTGTTTTGTTGTTGGGTTAGGTGCTTTTATTTCCAATTTGTGCTAATCTTTTATGAGAGTTCTAATGATTCAGTCTGAATTGTTTCAGAATTAGTGATAATACAATAAGAATTACTTCTCTTTCCAAGTGTGTCTTACTTGTAGGGTATTCAGCTGAAATGTGTGAGATGGACAGTTCTGAGCAGGGAGGGGAAGTTGTGGTGGAGTCCTTTCTTACATTGAGACTTGGTACTTGAGCATCGTGGTTCATTTTACTTCCAGTGCTACTAGAAGCCCACAGTAAATGCGTCCATGCTAATGTCTGGATCTATGGTGTTACAGAGGAATGCAGGCAGTAGTTCAGATGGAACCGAAGATTCCGATTTTTCTACAGATCTTGAGCACACAGACAGTTCTGAGAGTGACGGCACGTCACGACGGTCTGCCCGAGTCACCCGCTCTTCAGCCAGGCTAAGCCAGAGTTCTCAAGGTAAGAGTCGGATGTTCCTCACAGTGGACAGATTGGGATCATTGTATGTGCTAGTTCATAAGGAGACTAGTCCTTTGGCTTAGTGTAGAGGATAGAATGTGTCAGAGTGTAAGGCAAATGCAGAAACAGCCGGTGATTCATCAAAATGATTCCTGTCGGATACCATGTCCTGTTTATAGGCTGTAGCTTGCATAGATTTAAGACACAGGTGTCTCGTCACTTTTTTTTTTAAGACTTCATGGTGTTATCAGTCATCATAAAATGGTGAATTGGGAATGTTATCACTTTGTAAAATGGCTTAGGGGCTTAAAATGCCTATTGAATGTGGTAGTGAGGCTTAATGCTTTTAAAAGCATGTTTAATTATGGAATGTAGAGTCACATTTGTTAGATATAACAGTGTGTGAATAAATCCCCGGAATTTTGCTTTGGTAGTGAGAAAACACAGGCTTGTGCTTGGAAGGTAGTTGGAAGGCTCGTTAGTGTACTTAGCCATTTGGGCTTGTTTGGTGGGTAGCCTTTGCCCCTTATAGTTCTGTTCAGTGTGGAAGCGAGGTTTCAGAGAATACACAAAGGGGGTGGAGTGAATGGAAAATGGCTGCGTGTAGTAGTGCATGCCTTGAATCCCAGTACTTGGGAAGCAGAGGTGTGTGGATCTCTGAACAAGGCCAGCTTGGTCTATATAGAGAGTTCAAGGCTAACCAGAGCTACATACTGAGACTCTGGTTCTCCCCCTGCCCCCTCCAAAAAGTGTATTTATGTATGTATTATCTATTTATGATAGATAGATAGTTACAGATAGAAATATATGGATGTGTGTATGTGTGTGTATGTGCACACATAAATAAATAAATGTGATTTGTTAAAGAATCCTGTGGAAGTCCAGAGGTGGGGCAACCGCATTGTTGTCTAGTAGGAGTCTACTAGGATTTTACAAATTGAAAGATGAGAAAAATGTTTGAGGCAGAGGGAACCATATATGCAAAGAGTTCTTAGAAACTGTAATTAGCAATGCCCAAAAGGTGATGGATATTCAAAACAGCTAGACACATGAACTTGGGGTCTCTGCAGTTATTTTATTTCCTAGTTCTATGGCCACAGAACTGCACAATTCTTGAGCATCAGCACAGGGTAAGACTACCCTCCCTTGTGTGAAATATAGACAGCCTTGTGAAAAGAGCCCCTGAAAGTATATGAACTTGGGGACCTGGCTTTATACAAACTTACCTCTCCTGACAGCTGGAGAATTTCAACTTGTGGTTCATACATTGTCATAGGATGTTGTTGTATAAAATATTCAATTTCAACTTTGACTCCCTTCCCTTGTTGGAGATGTGAAGGTCTGGGAAGGCTTCACAATAAGTTTATGGAAAGAATTTACAGGGCTGAAGTGATGGCTGAGCGGTAAGAGCGCTTAGTTGCTCTTTCAGAATACCTGGGTTCAGTTCCCAGCAGCCACGTGGTGGCTCACGCCATTAGTAACTCCAGGGGATCCAATGCCCTTTTCTGCTCATACACGTAAAAATAAAATACAGCTTAAAAAAAACCCCAAACATAAAACATAAGTTTCATTTGTTTGTTTTGAGCCAGTTTATTCTTATGTAGCCCAGGCTGGACTATACATTACTATCATTTTGCCTCAGACTCCCAAGTACTAAGAATGCTTAAGACACTGGGTCTGTCTTAAAAATGTTTGTACTTTTTGAATCCATTATGACTTCACATAAAAAAACAAGGATAATCAGAAAGAATAAGTAATCTCCTAATACAGTAGTATTTATGTATTGCTCTGTCAGCTTTAGGACATCTGTATTATGATGGACTGTAGCCAGGGAAGAAATGGGCAGTGCAGTTAGTACTGGTAAAGAACTGTCCTTGTAATGTCGAGGGTATGCTGCTAGGCTCTCGCTCTCACTCTTGCTCTCTCCCTCCCTCCCTCCCCTCCCTCCCCTCCCTCTCTCTCTTTTTTTTTTCCAAACTGAGGTAAGTATTTTTCTTTTTTATGGGAAAGAAGCCAGCTTGGCGACATTAACTTGCCTGAGCTGCCACATGTGGCTGCTGTGTGGAGTGGGATCGAATGGCGTTCAGTCTTCACTACAGAGCTAAACTCTCATGTTCTGCTGTCGTGTGTCATTTGGTGAGACTGATAGAGTCTCAGGACTTGTTGGGTTTGGTGAAATGTGAAGAGAAGGAACTGCGTTCTTACTAATGGTGTGGATGGGAATAAAAAGGTTTTTCTTCTTTTTTCCTTAATTTTATGGCCTTTTAAAACTGGGATCAGATTCCAGCCCTGTTCGAAATTTACCATCTTTCGGCACTGAGGAGCCTGCCTATTCTACCAGAAGAGTGACCCGTAGTCAGCAGCAGCCCACCCCAGTGACTCCAAAAAAGTACCCTCTTCGGCAGACTCGTTCATCTGGCTCTGAAACGGAACAGGTGGTTGATTTTTCAGATAGAGGTAAGTGGACCTGTATGAGTTGTTTGTGTACAGAGGATCTGGTCAGTTGTCTTTCTGATTTGGCACTGCAGAGAGATACTGTCAGAGTTTAGGTAGGCAAATATTGTTTAGCTGATTCCTGTTTGTTTGTTTGTTTGTTTAGGGTTTATGGCTTTGTGGTTTATGAAATAGGGCTCGCAGAATATAGCCTCAAACCTGTGATTCTCCTACCTCAACCTTCAGAGTGCTGGGACTACAGATGTGTGCCACTATGCTCAATTTATCTAATTTCTTACTGTCTTGCACAGTCTTATTTTGATTGCTGGAGTGTTAAGGTCCAAGCAGCTGGAGTGTATTAGATTGGCTTTGTAATAGGGAAAAGGAGGTAGAACTTTCTGAACCTCTACATGAAGAAGGTGTGAGCCGTGATTACTAGTCCATTTTCCCTCCAGACTGTTGACTAGAAGAAACCTTTGGTAATAGACAGTGGTAAGTTACTGAGGTTGTGACCTAGTAGTTCAAGAGCCTTACAGCAAGAGGTGATAGAATAGATCTTACAAGCTACTAAGATTCTTCAGCCAGGTAATGTGGTTGGTTGATTTGCACAGTTTCAAATGGTTTGCCCAGTTACAGGTTGTTTTTTTTTGTTTTGTTTTGTTTTTGCTTTTTTACTTTTTTGGTAGTACTTGGAAGTACAAAGATTTCCATATAAAAATCTGTACTAATTTTTAAATTTTCATTTATTTATTTTATGTATTGGTGTTTGGTCTGCATGTAAGTCTGTGAACCACGTTTGTGCCTGGTACCCATGAAGGACAGGAGAGGGCAGGGCCTAAGATCCTCTGGGATGGGAATTAAAATTGTGAGCTACTGTGTGGGTGCTGGGAATGAAACCCAGGTCCTCTGAAAGAATAGCAGTGCTCGTAACCAATGAGTTGTCTCTCTAGCCCCAGTACTTAATTTTTTTGGTTGTTTATTTGTTTTTGTTTTGTTTGAGACAGGATCTCTATGTAGCCCTGGCTATCCTGCAGCTCACTATCTAGATCAGACTGGCTTTGAATTTATAGATCAATAGTTAATTTTTAAAACAGGAAGATCTGGGAATATTGGATGGCCATCTATCCACAGTAATTATTAACTGGAGCTGAATAATGTTATCATCTTTTGATAGACAATGAGATTATTTGACCATGTCTAACCCTGTAGGTATCTGGTTTGTAATCATTGATTTAAGAGTTGACCAGGTGTGGTGGTGCACACCTTTAATCTCAGCACTCAGGAGGCAGAGGCAGGTAGATTTCTGAGTTCGAGGCCAGCCTGGTCTATAGAGTTAGTTCCAGGACAGCCAGGACTACACAGAGAAACCCTGTGTGGACAAACAAAACAGAGGGTGCAGTCTCTGGTGCCGGAGAGATGGCTCAGTGGTGAAGAGGACAAGTGCTGCTCTGTCTTTGCAGGGGTAGGGGGCAGATTCTCTACATATCCCTGCATGTCCTGGAACTCACTCCGTAGACCACGCTGGCCTCAAGCTCAGAGAGATCCTTTGCCTCCCAAGTGCTGGAATTAAAGGCATATACCCTGCTTGCTCTTTTTTTTTTTTTTTTTTTTTTTTCCCTGGGACTCACTTGGTATCCCAGGCTGGCCTCGAACTCACAGGGATCCGCCTGGCTCTGCCTCCCAAGTGCTGGGATTAAAGGCGTGCGCCACCACCGCCCAGCTCCCTGCTTGCTCTTGTAGAGACCTGAGTTAGGTTCCGGGCACACGTCTGGTATCTTACAACTGCCTGTAACTCCAATTCTAGGAGGTCTGACACACTGTGCTGGCTTCTGCCAGCACCTGCATTTGTGCCCATGTACACATAATTAAAAATAAAATCTGTAAAAGAAAAAACAGGAATATGGAATTTTTATCCAAGCATTTGGGAGGTAGAGGCAGGTGGATCCCTATGTGTTTAGGTCCAACCTGCCCTACATAGAAAGTTCCAGGCCAGCCAGGAATAATAATAAATAATAAATAATGAGAGTCTTGTTTTGTTGTTGTTGTTGTTGTTTTAAAGACAAAGTGTGAATTTCAAGATTATGAGACCCCAGTAACTTCAGGCACCAGGCATGTTGATAGTGTACATACATACGTGCAGACAAAACATTCATACACATAAAATAAGTACTGAAAATTTTGAGTCAGTTTCATTTCTTTACTTTTTTTTTTTTTTTTTTTTTAAGTGGGGGCTTGGTTTTGAGACAGGGTCTTTTTTTTTTAAGATTTGTTTATTATGTATACACTATTCTGCCTGCATATATGCCTACACACCAGAAGAGGGCACCAGATTTTATTACAGATGGTTGTGAGCCACCATGTGGTTGCTGGGAATTGAACTCAGAACCTCTGGAAGAACAGCCAGTACTCTTAACCTCAAGGCCATCTATGTAGCCTTGCTATGTAGTCCAGACTGGCCTTGAACTCTTCATAGAGAATGCCTGCTTCTGCCTCCTAAGGCAGGATTAAAGGAACATACCACCACACCCAGCTCATTTATTTTCTGTCTTGTGTATCTCCAGGAAGGGAAATGGGTTGATTATTTATTTACTTACTTTTCTAATAAAGAACATAATACATTTTGGTAAACATACTTTCAAATGACAGTAAATAGTTTTAAGTTTCACTACTGAACAACACTTGGAATGGTGAGAACATAGTTATCATACTTGAGTGCTTTTGATAATATTTCAAGGACTTCATTTATATTCAATTTTTGATTATCCTGGATTAAAAGCTTAGGATAAACAGAGAAGTAGTTGAGCCCCAATTTACATCCAATCAGAATTTAAAGTTACTCCAAAGTGATGATTTCGATGTCTTTTTTTTTTTTTT